CCTGAAAGCACCATGTCTAGACTGCGTGTTCAAGTGCAAGCGACTAGTGTATTTTGGCAGGGTCGTACGCCAGGGTCCCACCGAGCTACACTCACTTCTCGCTCCTTGCCCTCCTCTGCATCGCCTCCCTTGGGTGCAGCTTGTACTGGAGGATCTGCAATGTTTATGGCGGATGTCAGCTCTGTGCTCTGGTCTCCCTGGCCCTTGAGAGTCTTTCGGCCCGCGGGTTCGATTCATTGCCGAATCTCCAACTCGCTGGTCTCACAGTGCCAACTGTATATGTTTCGTGAAGTCGGCTTGCGACCTGACTCCTGCCCCCCTTCCCTCCAGCTCCCCCACTGCATCGTTCAAGCATGATTTCTGTAATTGCGCTTTTGCTTCCGACAAGGCCTTGCGCTCGCATCGCGGTGCCAAACATGGCACCCGAGTTCCCCAGCGGTTGTTTTGCCTCGCGGACGGCGCGTGCCAAGTCTGTGGCTCCAGGTACCGGTCCCGTCTTCGTTTGCTGGCTCATATCTGCGAATCTCGTCGCACGCGATGCTGGGAGGCCATATGCGCCAGGCCAGCGTCGTATGTAAAACTATTAGTTTCCGAATCTAATCGCTTCGACAGTATAGACAACGATCTGCGTCGCGAGGCCCGCCGCAGCGGCCATTCACACGCGCTGGCATTTGGGTGGGCTTTCACTTCCACCTGAAGGGCCGTGGGTCGCTGCACACGCTAGCGCCTCAACCACACAACAGTTATTACATTTTGCGGCGGAGTCGATCCAAGCCTTGAGGAATATCCGTTGACATATGAGTGTATATATTGATATATATATATATATATATATATATATATATATATATATATATATCAATATATATATATATAATATATATATATATATATACATGTGTAGCATGGGCGTGTACACGTGCATACGTATGTACCCACATGAACATGCACAAGCCGCAGGCAATGATCTTGTTGCTTGCTCAACCATTTGAGTGGGTCGCGGACGTGGGTCGCGGGTGAGCCGCGGGTGGGCCCCTTGTGGGCCACAGATGGATTGCAGGGGGCGGACGACGACGACGACGACGACGACGACGACAATAGCAACGTTGACTAAGACAATCTGCACTGCGGAACCCATTTGAGCTACACACCCATGGACAGTGTAAGTCCGTTCGGCCCCATCGTTCATATTATATGTCATACTGTGGCTTCCGACACATCATGCCACCGCGCCTGGGTTGTAGGGCAAAAGCCTCTTGGACTGGGCCGTTCTGAGCTCCTCTCGGGCCGTCTTGGGGCTATCTTCGGGGCCTCTTAGGGCCGTCTGGGAGCGTCGGAGACCCGAAATGGCGAGAACGCTCGTCCTCGCCCCTCGATCGAAGACGAAAAAGGAGATTGCAGCCGCAGGACACGAACATAAAACCGATAAACCGATAAACCGATCAACCGATAAACTAGTTCGGTTGATCGGTTGATCGGCAGATCGACCGATAAACCGATATGATTATATCGGTTTATCGGTCGATCTGACGATAAACCGATCAACCACTAAACCGACTCATCGCAGGCGTGCCCGAATCTCAGCACAGCTTGGTTTTATCAGTTTATCGGTTTATCGGTATATCGGATGTTTCAGTTTATCGGTTGATCGGTTGATCGGTTTATCGGCCCGGCGTTGTCGTGGTTGTCCAATGGGTAATCCTTCGAAATTCTCTCTCCTCTTCCTCCTAGTCCTCCCCTTCCTCTTCCTCCTAGTCCTCCTCCGCCTCCGCCTCCTCCTCCTCCTCCTCCTCCTCCTCCTCCTCCTCCTCCCTCCCTCCGTTCCGATCCTCCCTCCCTCCCTCCCTCTCCTCCCTCCCTCCCTCCCTCACTGGCCCCGACGCCCATGGTTCTCCTAGTCCTCCCTCCCCCTCTTCCTCCTAGTCTCCTCCGCCTCCCCTTCCTTTTCCTCCTAGTCCTCCTCCGCCTCCGCCTCCTCCTCCTCCTCCTCCTCCTCCTCCTCCTCCTCCTCCTCCTCCTCCTCCTCCTCCTCTTCCTCCTCCTCCTCCTCCTCCTCCTCCTCCTCCTCCTCCTCCTCCTCCTCCTCCTCCTCCTCCTCCTCCCTCCTCCGTTCCGATCCTCCCTCCCTCCCTCTCCTCCCTCCCTCCCTCACTGGCCCCGACGCCCATGGTTCTGCGCGCACAGGGCCGCGGCCCCCGTGAGCCCCTTCTCGGCGTTCCAGCTGACCACCATTCCTGGGGAGTTCGTCCTCCCTCCCTCTTCCCCTCCTGCCCACACTCTCACATCCGTCCCCATTCCCCTCCCTTGTTCCCCTCCCCTCCCTCTTTCGGATTGGGGAATTTCGAATTTCCTGTCTCCTCCTCTCCCAGGCCCAGTGCCCAGGCCCATCCAGAAACAAAAATTGGAAAGGGGGGAGGGCGGGAAGGAGAGATGGAGGGAGGGAGGGTTGGATTCGATTCGGGAAAGGGGCATTTGAGAAAAGAGGGGATGGAGGGGTGGAGGGAATAGGGATGGGGGAGGGGGATTGGAGTTGGGAAGGAGGGATGGAGGGAGGAGTGGCGGGGGGAGGGCGGGGCTTGTGGGAAGCAAAATCTGGCGGGGCATTTCGGGCTAGGACGTTTGCGGTTTCTACAGCGCTTTGGCGGGGGTGCCTCCAGCTCCCCCTTCCTCTCCTTCTCTGGGCTTTGGGGGGGTCGCATTTCCCCTCTCCTCCTCCCCCATCCTCCTTCTCCTTCCCCCCTCGGTCTTAGCCGTATCAGGTTATCACTGTAGCGCGAGCTGCGGCGAAAGCTGCTGGCGTCGCGTGTCCTATTGCGGATCTGGGCGCAACTCTCAGCCATGCGCGGCGGCCCGTATGATAAGCCACCCGGGCCTTTAAACCAACGGGACGTCATCGTCTGCTCTTTGTGCGACCGGCGAGTCGGGAAGCCATGCTGGGCCACCCATGTGAGGGATTGTGTCAGCGATTCCTCTGCGCTCGCGGTTGAGCCGCAGTGGTTGGGCCTTGATCCCAACCGTGCGCCAGTTCAGTTCGTTGCTCAAGGACTGCCCGTTGCCCTTTGCGCCGATATGAAGATAGCGGGGGATAAACTGAAACAGTGCTACCTCCGGATGGGGCAAGCCTTCGTGCCCGACCCCCACATCAGCGGGGCTTGCTACACTTGCGGTTGGAGCCCCTTCAAAGGTGCGTGGATGGGGCCCGAGGGTTGCAGCGTCGGCGCGCTGTTCCTCTGCGCCGCGTTCATCGACTCGCTGTTCGAGACGAAGGCTTTGACGGGCGCGGCGCAATTCATGACCAACACGGGCATGGATTCTAGCAAGCGCTTGCCACATTCCCGTTATCTGGCCCAAGGTGGGAGTGCGTTCGTGCAGCGGGGTGAGAATTACTGCCGTTCCAAGCGGCCGGCGCCCGGCGAGCCGCGCGTGGTTCACGTGCCACCGGCCGTGACTTCTTCCAGACACTGGCGGGCGCACTCCGCATGTACGACGCAGTGTGCGACCTGCTCTAGCCGCGGGTGTGCGTCGTGCGAACATTGCTGCTTGCGCAAATTGCGATTCGTGTTCAAGTTCGCAGTGGCTGCGCTGCACCAGTCTGACAGAGCGCCCGCGAGTTCCCAGGTGCGCTTTGTGCTCGGGCACAGGTCGTTCCGAATCCTCGGCGGCCTCATCATAGTTTTCTCGCCGTCGGAAGAGTTCGGCATCTGGGCGCCGCCGCGCGTGGGCGGCGACAAGTGGCCTTGGATAAGCTTTATTGTATTCGGCGACTAAGCGGCGACTCGGCTCCGACCCCTGCCGCTTGGCGGGGGCTGCGCGCAGCCATGCCCGCGGGTTCGGGCGCGGTCCGGCGACGGGGGCCGCCAGCGCGGCGACGGGGGCGTCCTGGGCGGCGAGAGCTGCCTTTGATCCTCGCTCAGCGGCGCGAGCGGTCCGGCGGCGGGAGCCGCCCCCGCCCGTCGCTCGCGCGAGCGGCCGGGGCATTTTTAAGAGGCGGTTTGCGTGGCGAGAGCTGCGCCGTCTCGCTGGCGCGCGCGGGCGCTGTTGAGCGGCGAGAGCTGCATGCGCGGCGACGGGGTCCTGGGCGGCGAGAGCTGCCCCCGACCGTCTGGCATTGGACTGGTGGCGATTGGCTCCGTCTGCTTTCTCCTTCTCCTCCTCCTCCTCCCCCTCCTCCTCCTCCTGTTCCCCCATGTTCATCCCCCGTCCCCTTCATCTTCCCCCTATCCTCTTCTTCCTTCCCCCCTTCCCTCCTCCTCCCTCCTCCTGAGGCCCAGGACCTGAGGGCGCGCCCGCTCCGCGCCCGGAGGCGCGGAGGCCAAATCTGGCCGGGCATTTCGTCGCCCGCACGCGGTGCGAAAACCAGGGCATGGCGGCGGGCATTTGGTGTGATAGCCAGGCTGCGTGGGCCCCCCACCCCGGGTCCACGTCTCATCTCTCCCCTCCCCCCCCTCTTTCGGATTGGGGAATTTCGAATTTCCTGTCTCCTCCTCTCCCAGGCCAAGTGCCCAGGCCCATCCAGAAAGAAAAACTGGAAAGGGGGGAGGGCGGGAAGGAGAGATGGAGGGAGGGATGGTTGGATTCGAGTCGGGAATGGGCATTTGAGAAAAGAGGGGATGGAGGGGTGGAGGGAATAGGGATGGGGGAGGGGGATTGGAGTTGGGAAGGAGGGATGGAGGGAGGAGTGGCGGGGGGGGGGCGGGGCTTGTGGGAAGCAAAATCAGGCGGGGCATTTCGGGCTACGTTTTCGGTTTCTACAGCGCTTTGGCGGGGGCGCCTCCAGCTCCCCCGCCCTCTCCTTCCCATCCTCCTTCTCCTTCCCTCTCCTCCTCCCCCATCCTCCTTCTCCTTCCCCCCTCGGTCTTAGCCGTATCATGTTATCACTGTAGCACGAACTGCGGCGAAAACTGCTGGCGTCGCGTGTCCTATTGCGGATCCGCGGCGATAGCTGCAGATCTGCGGCCACCCACATTATTGCGGATCCGCGGCGATAGCTGTAGATCGGCATGGCCGCTTCTTGCGCCATCTGCAAGCAGGAACTCGAAGATGGCGAGGAGCTCGTCCGTCTGGGTTGCCTGCGCGGGCCTTACCACGAAGAGTGCGTCAACGCGCACGTGCAAGTGCACGGCCTGGACTTCGCCAATTTTCCATGCCCAGAGTGCAGGGCCGCGGAACGCCAGCTCCAGTCGATGGAGGCCGCCAGGTTGCAGCGGCAGCAGGTCGTCAGCAGCAGTGGGTCGTCAGCGGCAGCAGGTCGCAGGCGCACGGCCGTCTTCCGGACCCCCCTCACCCAGGGGGGGGAGCGCAGGATCACCAGGGAGAGCCGCCGCTCCAGGTCGCCGCCCCCCCGCGTCGTGGCGGATTCGCCCATCACGCAGCCCGAGTCGCCCGGTGGGGCCATCGTCGCGGCCGCGTCGCCCATTGGCAGGGCCGTCGCCCCGGCCGCGTCGCCCATTGGCAGGGGGCTGTCGCAGCCCATATCCCCATCGCAGTCTCAGCCGTCGCGGCCGCAAGGCCCTGCCATCACAGATGCCGATTTCGGTTTCACGTTCACTGACAACACGGCGGCTGGCGGCGACGGGGCCCCGGTGCCAGACCCGTGCTTCCGACGGGCCGACGCCGTGCCGAATGCCGCCGCTTTCCGAACCGCCCTGCATCCGACGGGCTTATTCAACGGCTTGCAGGGCGAGCGGGGGGCCCGAGAGACAGCCAAGCAGTGGCTGGGCGAGATGCTGGCGGACCCTAGGGACCACAAGGAGGTGGGAATGGATCCCAGCTTCTCAATTCGGCTCCTGCTCCCGCGCCCCTTCCGCACAGCAGTCGTCGCGGTGGCGTCGCGCGAGGGCTGGCAGCCCGAAGCGCTCGCGCAAGGTATCATGAGCAACGCGGGCTGGTTGGGGCACCACGCCACGGTGCTCAAGGAAACTGCGGATGAGGAGTTCCGGCGTACACGGACCCAGTCGGGAAGTTCGAGGATTACCTGGACCGCCTGGAGGAGCACCCAGGGGCGCCAGGTGGCATCTGGGCCGTGCGCGCCGAGGAGGACGACCAGTGCCCGAGGCGGTGCGCCGAGGAGGCGCTGGAGGCATTGGGGGCCCGGAATGCGCAGCAGGGCTCCCCGCGGGCGCAGTGCACGTGGCTGCCGCCGGGCATCCCGCGGGCGCAGTGCGAGAACAGCGCGCTCTGGCGAAGGGAGCTGCTCCGCGCGCGGCCCGCGAGCGCGGCAGCGAAGGCGCCGAGCATGTGCTGGGCGAGGTTACTGGCGGCGCGGCCGGCGCGCCTGGCGCCGCGCGGGGCAAGAAGCTTCGGAAGGACGCGCCGGCGCGCCGACGTGGCCAGCCGACGCGCGCGGAGAGGCGGGCGCATCTGCAGGGGTAGCGTCGCGCCCTATCAAATATGACGCGCGTCACTCCCTGCCATCGTCGCCGTCGCCGTCGAGGACGCACGTGGATGACTTGGAGGGGGGGTGTCGAGGGAGAGGAGAGAGCGGTCGGTGGTGGGGGGTGGCCAGAGGGGCGGCCAGAGGAGAGAGTGGTCGGTGGTACCAGCCGTCCTGTGATATATTCGCCCCCAGCCAACCTCTGGCATGTTTGTCCCCGGCCGTCCTGTGGTAGATTTGCCCCCTGCCCTGCCGACTTGCGATTTGCAGATGCTCCGCGCGCAGGCGGTCTTGCGGGAAGCGAAATCTGGCAGGGCACTTCGGGCTAGGATGTTGTCGGTTTCTACCGTGCTTAGGCGGGGTGGGGGGGGGCTCCTTCTCCCCCTCCCCCTCCTTCTTTGCGCTTTAGGGGTTTCGCATTTCCCCTCTCCTCCTCCCCTTTCCTCCTTCTCCCTCCCCTCTCGCGGAGTCTTGTCGGGGCTCTGCTCCTCGCGGAGTCTTGTCGAGGCTCTGCTCCTGGAGCCGATCGCCGTCCGTCCTTTCGTGCACTGTGATCCAGACCGACGCAAAATGGCGCGCCAGATTTTGCTCCCCACCGAAATTTGCCCCGCCAGATTCTGCCTCCCGCGCGGCTGCCGCCATCGCCATCATTATCATCAGTATGACCTTCCTCTTCCTCATCTTGAGACATCCTCGCAACGCTGACCTCTGATATGCCCTGCCCCAAATTGTGCTGGCCATTTCCGCCCACGCAAAAACTCGCCTCGTTCACCTGGGGGGGACGTGCCCAGCCTTGAAATAGTCTGACCCCCGATCTGCCCCGGGATGCGATGTTCAGACAATTTTCGCCCGGGGCGCCCTCGCACTTCTGACTCCGGAGGTGCCCTACCCCATGGCGGTCCGACCACTTTCGCCTGCGACATCCTCGCAACAGCGGCTTCCGAGACGCCTATAACTGACCTCTTCAGGCCACTTTCGTCTGAGACAGCGACCTCGCATATGCCCTGCTCCAAGTTGGTTCGGCCACTGTCGCCTGAGACCCTCGCAGGCCCTGCACTACCCGCGCAAAGCATCGCGCGCGGCGGGAGATGCTCGGACCCCTGCGGGACTCCGTCCGCGCCAGAGACTCAGGCTGATCAAGCCGAGCCGCCCCAGAGCGGGGTGCGCCGTCCGCGCCAGAGCCAAACACAAAACTCACGCCGTCGCCGTCGCCGTCGTCGTCGCGGCGGGGGACTGACAACCAGCCGATAACCCGATAAACCGATAAACCGATATGCGGCACAAGGATCGCATCCACAGGTTCCCCCCCGGCGGTCTCAGATCAGCCAGTCAACCGATAAACCGATAAACCGATAAACCGACGAAGAGAGGGGGGCGCGCCAGCAATCGCCTCTATGTTCGCATACGAAGATTATCGGTTTTTCGGTTGAGCGACCGATCCACCGATAAACCGATCAAATTATATCGGTTTTTCGGTTGATCGGTTTGCAAACCGTTCAACCGATTAGTTTTTATCGGTTGATCGGTTTATCGGTCGGATGGACTTCCGGAAGCCGTTGCCGCTGCACTCAAAAAGGAGCATAAACATAAACTCTTGGTGTTCCGCGCGGATTTCTTGGATCCGCGCTGGGCCCCCCCAGCGGCGCCTCCGGCGCCGCCCGGGGATCCAGTGCAGATCCCAGAAATCCGCGCAGAGCGCCAAAATGTTATGCCCATTCCTTTGTTTTATCTTCTATCCAAGAGGTCCTCCCAGAGGGCCTCAAGAGGTTTCTGGGCCCCTGCCCCCGGTTTCTCGTCCTCGCCCTTTTCGGGGGAACCAAAAGTCGGCAAAGGCATAAATTGTTGGATAGCGGCGCGGGTTTCTCGGATCGGCGCTGGAGCCCCCATGGCGGCACCTATAGCGCCGCCCCTGGCGCGCTCCGCGCGCCAGGGAGAGGGGTCTAGCGCCGATATCCGCGCCGACCTCCAAAAGTCGATGGTTTACAATCAAAGCGCTAAAACAAGGACTGCTCTGGGCTCAGGAGTGGCTCTGGTCTCGTGCCGTTCCTTAGAACTGGGTCGGGGAACCCATTCGTGGCCGAGGCTCGCCATGGTCAGGAAAGCCCCGTCGTTCCTTATCTGGCGTTCCTTATGGCCGCGCGTCGACTATATGTGTTCGTTTTCTTACTCATTGTCCCCAACCTTCCTTGGTTGGGTATTCGTTTTGAATAGAGCACTGCGGTCGCGTCTCCTTCTCCTCCTCCTCCTCCTCCTCCTCCTCCTCCTCCTCCTCCTCCTCCTCCTCCTCTCCTCCTCCTCCTCCTCCTCCTCCTCCTCCTCCTCCTCCTCCTCCTCCTCCTCCTCCTCCTCCTCCCGCCTCTCTCTTGTCTCCTCTTGCCTTGTGCGTACCTCTTGCGTGTGCGTGTGCATCTTGCCTGCGCCATTTTCGAGGCCTGCTGTGGGGGACAGCATAGTGGGTAGCCGCCGCAGACCCAAATTAGACCTCGCCATCCCGGGGGGGCTGCGATCTGCGAAACTGTCGCCACTTTCGAGGGCTGCTGGGGGGGACAGCATAGTGGGTAGCCGCCGCAGACCCAAAGTAGAACTCGCCATCCCTAGGGGGGCTGCGATCTGCGAAAATGTTGTCATTTTCGAGGGCTGCTGGGGGGGACAGCATAGTGGGCAGCCGCCGCAGACTCAAATTAGACCTCGCCATCCCTGGGGGGGCTGCGATCTACGAAAATGTCGCCACTTTCGAGGGCTGCTGGGGGAGACAGCATAGTGGGTAGCCGCCGCAGACCCAAATTAGACATCGCCATCCCGGAGGGGGAGGGGGGGGCTGCGATCTGCGAAAATATCGCCACTTTCGAGGGCTGCTGGGGGGGTCAGCAAAGTGGGTGGCCGCCGCAGACCCAAATTAGACCTCGCATCCCTGCGGGGTGCTGCGATCTGCGAAACTGTCGCCATATTCGAGGGCTGCTGGGGGGACAGCATAGTGGGCAGCCGCCGCAGACCCAAATTAGACCTCGCCATCCCTGGGGGGCTGCGATCTGCGAAAATGTCGCACCTTTCGAGGGCTGCTTGGGGGGCCAGCATAGTGGGTAGCCGGCGCAAATCCAAATTAGACCTCGCCATCCCGGAGGGGGGGGGGGCTGCGAAATTGTCACCGGTTTCGAGGGCTGTTTGGGGGGCCAGCATAGCGATCTGCGAAATTGTCACCGGTTTCGAGGGCTGCTGGGGGAGACAGCATAGTGGGTAGCCGCCGCAGACCCAAATTAGACCTCGCCATCCCGGGAGGGGGGGGGGCTGCGATCTGCGAAAATGTCGCCACTTTCGAGGGCTGCTTGGGGAGGGGCAGCAAAGGGGTTAGCCGCCGCAGATCAAAATTAGACCTCGTCATCCCTGGGGGGCTGCGATCTGCAAAAATTGTCGCCACTTTCGAGGGCTGCTTGGGGGGCCAGCATAGCGATCTGCGAAATTGTCACCGCTTTCGAGGGCTGCTGGTGGGTCCAGCGGAGTGAGGCACCGCGCAGATCTGAGCGAGACCTCGCCGTCGCTGGGGGGCTGCGATCTGCGAAACAGTCGCCACTTCCAAGGGCTGCTGGCGGGTCCAGCGGAATGAGGCACCGCGCAGATCTGAGCGGGACCTCGCCGTCTTTGGGGGGCTGCGATCTGCGAAACCGTCGCTGCTTTCGGAGGCTGGTGGCGGGTCCAGCGGAGCGAGGCACCACGCAGATCTGAGCAGGACCTCGCGATCCCTGGGGGGCTGCGAGCCTCACAAATGCCGCTCGCAGAAGTATATGTGCCCATGTCACGTCATCAACTCCGTATTACGTCTCCCAAGCTACTCATGCCCCGCATTGCGCAGGGGTTGGGTACGTCGCCAGGGTAATTTTGCCGATCGGCGCGGGCCCCCAACCCCACCCCTCCCCCCACCCCTTGGAGTAGATCTTGGCTGCTTTGGGCGCCTGTTTAAAGCAGGTGGAGTCTCCCCCCATAGGACGCACTGTCACAAACAGTCGCACTAATTAAGCAGAGGTCCAGAGCCAGACCCCCCCTCCCCCTCCTTCCCGCCCAATATCGAAACGCCGAGCAAGAAAACGCTAACTATGTTGTTCCTCTGGCCCCGTCGCGCTGCCCTCCGTCGCCTCGGGCCGCGACGCCAGCGGACCGGGCGGGCAGGCCTTGACGGGCGGGCCAGGCGGGCGCGCGGGTCGTCGAAGCAGGCGAGCGGGCCCTCAAATCAGGCGAGGCGGGCAAGCCCTGGAGGAAGATGAGGAGGAGGAGGAGGAGGAGGAATAGGAGTTTGAAGGCGGAGGAGGAGCAGAACGAGGAGGAGGAGGAGGACGAGAGGAGGACGAGGACGAGAGGAGGGCAGCTGCCCGCCGTCGGCGAGCGAGCGGCCGTCGGCGAGCGAGCGGGCGGGCTCTCGCGCATGTCCCCCGCGCCCGCCTCCGACGCGCAGGCCATGCGCGAGCTGCGCGCGAGGCCCGGCGGCGCGGAGGCCGCGGCCTCGGGCGCGAGCCCGGTGCTCGCGAGGGTCGGGGGCAGCGCTGCAGTCAAGACGCTGGAGGAAGGACCACTTCGGCCTCGGGAGGGGCTCTGATTATGGAACCTTCCCTTAGCTCGGGCAACGAAGAATGACATAAACACAGGTCCGCGCGGGTTTCTCGGATCGGCGCTGGGGCCCCCTGGCGGCGCCGGAGGAGCCGCCCCTGGCGCGCTCCGCGCGCCAGGGAGGGGGGTCCAGCGCCGATCTGGGAAATCCGCGCGGACCTCTGAGTTTTTGTGTTTGTGTCATTCTCCGCTCCCCTGGAAGAAGGACCGGACTACTTCGGGCTCGGGAGGGGCTCTGATGTGGGGGCCGCTCCTTAGCCCGATGTCGGGGGGAGCCTATTCGCGGCCGAGACTCGCCGTGGCCAGAAAAACGCCCCTTCGTTCCTCACCATGACTGCGGGGGGGGGGGGAAGGGGCTGAGCGGGGGGGGCGCATCGACCCCCGATCGCCCACTCATCGCCGATGGGGGCTCGACACCCCACCCAAGCAGCGCGCGCATGAGCTATCGGAGGCCCATCGCCGATCTTTCGGCGACGTATCGCTGATTCCAACTCGATGTTTCCCCCCTGAGCCGACCCCCCACTTGACGTTCCCCCTCAGATGGGAGCTGATAGTGCCGCTCGTCGCTGCACGCGGACGCCCCGCCAAGAGGTTCCCTGCTCGCAAAGTCTGAGCGCGGCTTGGAACACTGCCCACGGGGCGTCTTGGTGGCGGGCACAGCTGGGTTGCATGAAAGGCTTGACACTGCCACCATTCATGGTCGCGCAGCTCGTCAATGCAGGATACGTTTCTGCCAACCTCCAGAAAGCTGGCGCTAGCTTTAATCGGCTTTAGGTACATGGAAGCGTCAGGGCTTGCGCTAGGGACTTCCATCAATCATGCGAGGCTCACCGACCGGTATGTGAAAGACGTCTGCCTCATGCTTGCTCAATTCAGGGCGGTTCGGTTGTTGTACGATTGGCATATTCAATGTGAGTTTCGGCTGTTCGCAAGCACGCAAGCCACGCTTGCAGCAATTTGCGAGCATGAGTTGGAAGACATCGGCTCTTCGGCCGAGGTGCGTCAGAGAATTTGGTGTCATAATTATGTTGTCGCTTGCAAGCAACATTGTTCAGGTAGGTGTGCAGCACAAAGGTGCACTTCGAGTTCTGGACGCTTCGCGCACCCCCACAGCCCATCTAGCAACGATGCCCAGTCGAAGTACCTTCATCCTGGAAGTGTTAAGGCGAGCAGTGGAATGAAGAGGGGACAACCGTCAAACCCAAGCTCGGGTGAACAGGCTGAGCAAACCCATAATTTAATCATACACTCTTTCGTGAAATTCTGAATATGGAGATGTGTTGGAAGATAAGTTAGGAGACCATGACGCCCTCTTAGATCCATGTTGGAAGCCTTTGGGCACTCTTGGACCTCTTGTGGGCCTTCAAGGCCCTCTTGGAAGACATCGATCAAACATGGAGGGTCGTAAAGTGGCGTCCCCTATCGGAGCACGAACAAAAAAAACGGTTGAGGCCCTCTTGGGACGCTGCTGGGGCGCTCTTGGGAGCGTCCTGGAGGCATCTTGGAACTCGTCGTGGCCCCTTTTGGCTCTTGGGTGACACTGGAGACAGATGGAAGCTCCAAAAGCCAACAGTGGGCGGGGGCGATCGGAGGAGGCACCGAGGCCAGCTGGAGCCGTCTTAGGAGCCGACTTGGGGCCTCTTGGAGGTCTGCTCGAGGTTCTATTGACCTATATTGTCGTTTTGCCGATCGGCGCGGGCCCTCGCACCCACCCTCCTCCGTCGTGAGAACGGAAGCTGAGCAGCATTAGAAAAGCAAAGAGGGCGGGCACCAGTAAGAGCAAAACAGCAATCAGCCAAAGCAGCCCTCATACGTTGCCACCTTCGAGCCCTCTGGGAGCTTCCCGGGGACCTCTTGCTATCCTAGGGTTCTCTTAGATTCGTCTTAGGCGTTTCTGGGGCCTTCTTGGGGCCGTGCTGGAGGGTATCGACCAAGCGCGGGGTGTCATACCTGTCAGGAGCCAGACAGATCATTTCTGGGAGCTCTCTTGAGGCTCTCTTTGGGAGCTCTTTGAGAGCCGTGGGGTGCCGTTTGGGAGCCCTTTTGGACAGCCAGTGGGCCATCGCGGAGCCATATTGCGGCCACAGAGGCGTGTCGGGAGCAGATATTCAAAAAGAGAGAGAGAGAGAGAAGACAAATGTGCACGCCACGAATGCGTCAGTTTGTTGCTGCCTCCCGGAGACACATTTGGTCTTCAGGACCCTCTTGGGTCACTTCGAGCCCTCATGGAACCTATTGGGAGCCTATGAAGGTCATGCTGGAGACCAGCTTGAGCCATCTTGGAGGCAATATTGAGCTTTCTGGAGCCATCCTGGGCCGTCACAGACGGCTACCAGCAACCCTCCATATCCAGACCCTTTTTGACGTGAGGGGGTAGAGGGAAGGACAAGCGCCTTCCCGAAGCGGTAGTAGGGCTTATTTCGGAAGAGCTGGCGAGCCCCAAACCACCTACGCCAAGCCACGAGGACCCGTGAGATTCTCGACCAGAGGGCACGATTTCTGGCAGGACGACCTGGACTATTGCGCAGGTCTTACGAACAGCGCTGTCGACCCTGAAGGGGGACGACGATGACGACGATGACGACGACGACGACGACGACGACGACGACGACGACGCCAGCGATGGCGACGACGACGGCGATGGCGACGACGACGACGACGACGACGACGACGACGACGACGACGACGACGACGACGACGACGACGGTGACGGCGATGGTGACGACGACGACGACGACGACGACTCTGACGCTCTGGAGCCGAAAGCTTCTCCCAGGGAGGAAGGCTCCACAACTAGGACTATCATAGCACATCTTCTCAGAGTCTGGCCTCCCAGCATCGCTTCGGCAGGCGCCTCAAGGCGCACCCTGGCTGGCTTCCCAGAGGCTTCCCAGAGGCTTCGAGACCCTGAGGAGGAGGAGGAGGAGGGGAAGGAGGAGGAGGAGGAGGAGGAGGAGGAGGAGAAGTTGGAGTTGGAGTTGGAGTTGGAGTTGGAGTTGGAGGAGGAGGAGGAGGAGGAGGAGGAGGAGGAGGAGGAGGAGGAGGAGGAGTGCGTGAATGAGCGAGAACAATCCCGGAGCGATCCTGGCAAACAAATGAGCCCATAGACAGCCATGTTCAGGTCAGGGGGCGATCAACACCATGCACTTGTACTACTCGTCATGTATATGATTGCCGTTGAAATAAACACTGCCCTGGAAACCACCATGCCCCCAAGCACCACGATCACGATGCCGACAAGCACGAAGAGCAGGAAAATGCACCAGTTTCTCGAATGCCCCTTCACCAATATTGCACAGCACGCCAATGAAGTAAAAATGCTCAGGTTCCTCGGAATCCAGGGCCCCCCAAACCAGGGCACTGCTGACCAGGACTTTGAAAATTCCACCTGACGAGAACGAAAAACATGGCGGCGAGCCTAGGGGGGAAGTGAGAGGGGGCAGGCTTTCTCGGAGGGCGGCGGGGCTTCTCAGAAGGCCGGAGGATCTTGAGAAGTCCCGCCGCCTTCTGAGAAAGTTTGCCCCCTCTGGCTTCCCATTGGCGAATGTTTCGACCCACAGCTGCAGCTTTCTCGGGCGCGCCAACGTCTTGGTTCGTCAAAGTCGCCGTTCAGGGGGCCCTGGCTTGGGGGCCCTCGGGCCAGCGCTGCCGAAGAGGAGCGCTGGCTTCCAGGGGAGGCTTTCCGAACAGGTCCGAGCAGTTCTCAGGGCTGCTCTCCCCTCTCCCCGCCGCCTCCTAGGAATTCCTCCCGCTCTGTCTGGAGGGCGACCCTCCGAAACGTCGAGGTCCAGATCGCAGAAGCATCCGTGTGAAAACCAAACAGTACCGATGCTTTTACTCCCAGGACCTCTCTTGGGCCGCATCCTCATGAGCATTTCGAGGCGAATCCGGACGTGGCGACGAGGGCCTCCCAGAGTAGGCCCAGAGAGGCGAAAACGAGGGGTATGGGCAGCGGTATTGGTACCTTCTCCTCCTCCGAGTCTTGGCACTTGAGGAGGAGGAGGAGGAGGAGGAGGAGGAGGAGGAGGAGGAGGAGGAGGAGGAGGAGGTGGGAGAAGGAGGAGGAGGAGGAGGAGGAGAGAGGGGAGAGGAGGAAGGAGGAGGAGACAGGAGGAGGAGGAGGAGGGAGGAGGAGGAGGAGGAGGAGGGGGACGAGGAGAGGGGATGAGGGCGAGGAGGAGGAGGAGGAGGAGAAAAATGAAGAGGAGGAGGAGGAGAATGAGGAGGAGAAAGGGGAGTAGGAGGAGGAAGAGGAGGAGGAGGAGGAGGAGGAGGAGGAGAATGAGGAGGATGGGAGATGGCCCGGCGAGATCGCACCGGCAGTCCTCGAGCCTGGCGGCCTGGCTGGCCAAACCCTCTCTCGAGCGGGCCGACCCGACGCCCATTGAGGCGCTGAAGCGGCTCGGCTCGGAGTGCCTCGCGGCCATGATCCTGGCGTCTCTGGAGCTCCAGGGCAGAACCCTTATCCTTAGTTCGGGCATGCCCCTCTACAGGACGAATATCCAAACATAGATTAAGAATAGTTTGGGGATTGTGTTTGACAACTTTTCATTGTTCTTCCAAAATCCGCCTGTAGGAGGACATGCCCGACCTATGTAACCTTATTCCCACCCTCCCTCCCAGACTCGAAGAATAAGAAGAGAGGAAAAAAAACACCACCAAAAAAAAAAAAAAAAAAAAAAACGCCAGATCCAGAAACTGTTGGCGCTCCGCGCGGATTTCTTGGATCCGCGCCGGGCCGAAGAAATCCGCGTGGAGCGCCAAAAGTTTGCGTTTACGCTTTCTTGTGTTTCCCAACCATCCAGTGGTGTTGGGTCCTCGTTTTGAAGAGACAGCGCCCCGCGTTCCTCCTCCTCCTCCTCTCGCTGCCCCCTCCTCCCTCCCCTTCCTCCTCCGATCCCTGCCCCTGCCCCCCGAACCAGTCAACCATTTTGGCACACCCCTCACCCGCTTCGTGGCCCCATGGGGAGACCTACCGAAGGCCCAAATGCCAGAATTCGCATGCGCCCACCGCACCCATTTGGGCACACCCACCACACGTTTCGCGGCCCCACAGGGAGCCATACCGAAGGCCCAAAGGCCAGCGCTCGCATGCGCCCACCGCACCCATGCTGGCACACCCCTAACACGTTTCGTGGCCCCATAGGGAGCCCCACCGAAGGCCCAAATGCAAGCGTTCGCATGCGCCCACCGCCGCACCCATTTTGGCACGCCCCTCACACGTTTCGTGGCCCTATACGGAGCCCCACCGAAAACCCAAATGCCAGCGTTCGCATGCACCCATCGCACCCTTCTTGGTACACCCCTCACACGTTTCGCGGCCCCATAGGGAGCCCCACCGAAGGCCAAAATGCCAGCGTTCGCATGCGCCCACCGCGCCCATTTCGGCACACCCTTCACACGTTTCGTGGTTCTTCAGGGAGTCCCATCGAAGGCCCAAACGCCAGCGTTCGCATGCGCCCACCGCACCCATTTTGGGACGCCTCTCACACGTTTCGTGGCCCCATAGGAGCCCCACCGAAGGCCCAAATGCCAGCGTTCGCATGCGCCCACCGCACCCATTTTGGCACGCCCCTTCACACGTATCGTGACCCCACAGGAAAGCCTATCGAAACCCAAATGCCAGCGTCCGCACGCGCCCACCCCACTCATTTGGGCACGCCCCTCACATGTTTCGTGGCCCCATAGTGAGCCCCACCGAAAGCCCAAATGCCAGCGTTCGCATGCACCCACCGCACCCATTTTGGCACATGCCTTCACACGTTTGGTAGCCCCATAGGGAGCTCCACCGAATGCGGTGCATACAACGACGGTGCCCAGAACTGCAGATGGTTGGGTTCTTCGCCAGGCTAGTTTCTTCTACAGATATGCTCGCGTTGTCCAAGAAATCACGGCGAAGGGGATTTTAGTCGGTTTCGGCCCCTAGGGGCCGTCGCCGTGCCTCAGGACCGACAAATGAGGATTCGTGATGGAAAGGCGGACTTGGGGAAAGGATCGGGGGTCCGGGGGCCCCGCATTGAAAAATTAGCTTGGCGAAGGACCCAACCATATGCAGTTGTGAGCACCGCAGTCGTGAGTATCATCTTCGGTGGAGCTCCCTGTGGGGCCACGAAACATGTGAGGGGTTCGCCGAAAATTGTGTGGCGGACGCATGTGCACGGTGACTCTGGGGCCTTGGGTGGAGCTCACTATGGGGCCACGAACCGTGTGAGGGGTGTGCCGAAATGGGCATGCGGTGGGCGGGGTGGACGCATGTGAACGCGGCTACTGGGGCCTTCGGTGGAGCTCCCTGTGCGGCCACGAACCGCGTGATGGGTGTGCCGAAATGGGCATGCGGTGGGCGGGGTGGACGCATGTGAACGCCGCCACCGGGGCCTTCGGTGGAGCTCCCTGTGCGGCCACGAACCGCGTGATGGGTGTGCCGAAATGGGCATGCGGTGGGCGGGGTGGACGCATGTGAACGCCGCCACCGGGGCCTTCGGTGGAGCTCCCTGTGCGGCCACGAACCGCGTGATGGGTGTGCCGAAATGGGCATGCGGTGGGCGGGGTGGACGCATGTGAACGCCGCCACCGGGGCCTTCGGTGGAGCTCCCTGTGCGGCCACGAACCGCGTGATGGGTGTGCCGAAATGGGCATGCGGTGGGCGGGGTGGACGCATGTGAACGCCGCCACCGGGGCCTTCGGTGGAGCTCCCCATGGGCCACGAACGTGTGATGGGTGCCGAAATTGGCATGCGGTGGGCGGGGTGGACGCATGTGAACGCGGCCACTGGGACTTTCGGTGGAACTCCCCATGGGGCCACGAACCGTGTGAGAGGTGTGCCGTCATGGGCATGCGGTGGGCGGGGTGGACGCATGTGAACGCGGCCATTGGGGCCTTGGGTTGAGCCCCCTATGAGGCCACGAACCGTGTGAGGGGTGTGCCGAAATGGACATGCGGTGGGCGGGGTGGACGCATGTGAACGCGGCCACTGGGGCCTTCGGTGGAGCTCCCCATGGGGCCACGAACCGTGTGAGGGGTGTGCCGAAATAGGCATGCGGTTGGCGGGGTGGACGCATGTGAACGCGGCTACTGGGGCCTTGAGTGGAGCTCTCTGTGTGCGGACACGAACCGTGTGAGGGGTGTGCCGAAATGTTCATGCGGTGGGCGGGGTGGACGCATGTGAATGGCGCCACTGAGGCCTTGAGTGGAGCTCCCTATGGGGCCACGAACCGTGTGAGGGGTGTGCAGAAATGGGCATGCGGTGGGCGGGGTGGACGCATGTGAACGCGGCCACTTGGGGCCTTGGGTAGAGCTCCCCATGGGGCCAAGAACCGTGTGAGGGGTGTGCCGACATGGGCATGCGGTGGGCGGGGTGGACGCATGTGAACGCGGCCACTGGGGCCTTCGGCGGAGCTCCCTATGGGGCCATGAACCGTGTGGGGGGTGTGCAAATATAGGCATGGTGAGGGCAGAGTGCCGAAATGGACATGGTGAGGGCAGAGGCACGCGGGAGGGGGGGGAGGAGGAGGAGCAGAGGAGGAGGAGGAGGAAGAGAACGCGGGGCGCTGTCTCTGCAAAGCGAGGACCCAACACAGGATGGTTGGGAACAAAGCATCGCATGTATTGGTTTCCCGGCAGCGCGCCCGCGGTCGTTGGGCCCCGAGACGCCGCAGCAGCAGTGTCAGTTCCGACCCTACGACGAGCCCCCAGGGCACTTCAATTGAATCATCCTGACGAAGGACCCAACCGTAAGCAGTTGTGGATACCGCGTTCTGGGTCCACATTTCGATTGGCCTCCCTTTGAGGCCACGATCCGGGTGATGGGTCACTTTCTCTTCAAACGAGGATCCAACACCACAGGCATGTTTTTGCCGACACCCAAGTGTCATGGGAAATTCATATTGAATAACTGCGGAGAGGGGTTGGAGAAGGAGGAGGACGACGAGAAGGAGGAGGAGAAGGAGAAGGAGGAGGAGGAGGAGGAGGAGAAGGAGGCGGAGGAAGGACCAGCTGCGCAGCACCGCCGGAGTGGTGCGGCCCGAGGAGGTCGCAGTAGCGGCGGGTGACGGTGGTAAGACGCCATTTGCGGATGAAGTCCGTGCGCCGCCAACCGGCGGCACCGCCATCGATCAAATTTTGGACCCCGCGAGGCCTTGGGTGGAGTTCCCTTTGGGGCCGCGGACCGTGTGAGGGGTATGCCGATATGGGCATGCGGTGGGCGGGGTGAACGCATGCGAACCTTGCCACTGGGGCCTTGGGCGCCATGCTCCCTATGGGGCCGCGAACCGTGTGAGGGGTGTGGCGAAATGGGCATGCGGTTGGCGGGGTGGACGCATGCGAACCCTGCCATTGGGGCCCTGGGCACCATGCTCCCTACGGGGTCACGATCCGTGTGAGGGGTGTGCCGAGATGGATATGCGGTGGGCGGGGTGGACGCATGTGAACGCGGCCACTTGGGGCCTTGGGCGCCATGCCCCCTATGGGGCAGCGAACCGTGTGAGGGGTGTGCCGACATGGGCATGCGGTGGGCGGGGTGGGCTCATGTGAACACGGCCATTGGGACTTTCGGTGGAGCTCCCTATGGAGCCACGAACCGTGTGAGGGGTGTGCCGACATGGGCATGCGGTGGGCGGGGTGGACGCATGTGAACGCCGCCACTGGGGCCTTGAGTGACTTTAAACGGAGAAGGTTAAAGGCGAGATATAAATCGAGCATGTACCGCTGCCGTGCCTGGCTCAAGCCGGGCCCGGCCAGATATGTGACTGTGCCTCACTGAGGCGCACTACTTGCATCCGAGATCGGAAAACATCCTTTTCCATTGACGATGCCCATCCTACTCTTTACTCCAGATCCCATGCTTCGTCTCGCTCTCTTGCTCATGCGCTATGAGCCTAAGCCTGGGATATGGAAGCGCCTAAGGCGGACTGTATACCTAAGCTTACCAGCTTGTTTTCGACTTGGTAGCGGAGCTGGCTACACTCTCGTGTGGCTGGCTCTCGCTCTGATTCCTGTAATCCACGGCACAACTTGGTGGACTACTACTACGGTGGAATACCATGTTGCGCCGGCTCTGCGAGGAGCGGAGCCAGTCCGCGATCGAGCTAGCGGGGTAACCCGCGAACTCGAGACGCTCTCTCCTACTTCACTGCGCTACTTCACTCCCGACTTCCACCAGATGCCAATCGGCAACTCGATCGAGAACGTGGTCACCCTGCGGGGCTACCCGCAGCGGGGCCACCTGCATCCCGTGCCGGTCAGGCGCCTCACGGCTACCACGCCAGAGCCTGACAAACCACAGCCTAAACCAATCACCGAAGCCGAAATGCATATGCTTTGGATCAAGATAACTATCTTCGGCATTCTATGGGTGATAATGGGATGTGCTGTGGGATACATGCGGCAGGGGATGGACGACACGCGTACTACTGGCCCTACATGGGACCCTGCCGGTACTACGCCTTTC